TGTGCCCTAAGGTCCTCGGGCGGGTCGGGTGGCAGTTGGCGTGTGGATCCGCGTCCCGCTCTGCAATGTGCACGGCCCCGAAGCGTGAGGCTCCCGAACCAGGACGGGGAAACGCAACCAGGAAGCCAGCAGGAGCCCATTGAAACAGCCACCTGGGCCCGGCCCGTGGCTCAGGGTGGAGCGTCACCCCAGAACCAGGAAGTCGGGCCCAGGCCCAGGCTGTGGGCTCCATTCCCAGTGTGGGGGAGGGGAGGGGGGCGTGCAGGAGGCGGGTAATGATGATTCTCTCTCATCCTTGATGTTTCTCCCTCTCCCTCTCCCTTCTCTGAAATCAATAAAAATATTTAAAAACAAAAACGACCCCGGGACCAGGGAGGAGGGAAAACTGAGAGAGAACAGGGGTCCTGCCCGTGGCCCCAGTGGCACCCGCCTGCATGCGCTAGTGTGTGGGTGTTGGGCAGGCGTCAGGCACGCCTGGGTCTGGACCAGGTCTGCCAGCAGCTCTCCAAAGGGGCTGGCCAGGCTTACCCAGCATGCACTGGGGGTCCTGGCTGCTCCCCTCACCCACCCTCACCTACTGGGTGTCGGTCTCTGCTGGAGACTCTCCTGTGTCTGGGTGCTGTCCTGTGGGGCCCTGGGTGCTGTCCTGTGGGGCCCTGGGTGCTATCCTGTGGGGCCCTGGCTGTGAGGAGAGGGCACCGCCCGGACCACACCCAGTGGTGCCTCCCACCCTGTGCCCCACTCCCTGAAGGAGGTCCCACCAGCTCTGAGGGGTGAGCTGAAGCTGGGCCGAGGGTCAGCTCACACCTGAGCCCCCCGGGATGGGCACCTGGGCAGAGGATCCTGCCTGGGGTTCCTCCTACTTAAAGCAAAGTGGGGTGTCAGGGTCTCCGGTCCCAGGAGGAGGCAGCGGAAGATGGGCTCACCCTCCATCGCTCCTCACCCCGGGCTGCGTGCTCTGGGAGGGCTGCTGGGTTTGACCCGGGCATTGGGCAGACCTGGGTTCTGGCCAGTTTCCCAGGCCAAGGCCCTGAGTCCCGTGGGCCTGGAGCGAGGGGGGTGGGGGGGCCATGTCCCTGCCTCCTGGAGCCCGTCCCTCCCCCAGGACGACTGCTCCCAGGGCTGGAAGCCTTGGCTGGTCTGACATGTGCATCTCGTTCTCAGGGACGTCAACACGGAGCGGCCCCCGGAGCTGTGCACCCTGGGCAGGACACCATGGCCGTCGGCCCGCACACCGTGGTCTGGCCGACTCCCAGGATCTGGATGTGAGCCATGCGAAGCGGGGTGATTGTGGCCGCCCCGGGGGGAGGGGGGATAGGAAACAGGCTTCAGTAAAGCCGCTAAGGACAAGGACCCCCACCCCTACCCCACCCCACGTGCACACACACACACACACACATGCACGAATGGCTACGGCTTGCAGGCTCTGGGCCTGAGTCCTGGGAACCAGTCCCAGACGCTGCCCGCCCTCCCAGCTGGATCCCGGGCCAGGCGGCTCCAGTTTCTGAGTGAAATGTGCTCACAGTGGGCGGCCACATGGGCTTGTTGTGAGAATTCAGTGCACTGATGTTTGAGCCAAGCTTGGCGAGCGCCCCAGGAGGAGACGTGCTCGCACAAGGGGGGTCGGGGGGCGCTGCAGACCTGGATGGGGATGAGTGTGGGTCCCCTCGGGCAAGGGTCCTGCTGCCCCCCCTCAGAGGCTACACCAGCGCAGGGAGGGGGGCCGGGGCCGGGAGGGCCCCCTCCTCCCCGTGCAGGGCCAGGGCCCTGCGTCTGGCAGCCTGCGCCCCCGCACCAATTACAGGCACTTAGTCACAATTTCCTCTCGCACTTCCTCTCGGCAGCAGCAGAACAACAGCCTTGGTGCCGAGCTGCCCCTGTTCCCGCTCCCTCCAGCCCACGGCTGACGCTGAGGACAGCAGGGGGCCCGGGGGTGGGACGTGGACCCCGAGTCCCTGCTCCCCCGCAGAGGGGGCTCCTCCACAGTCAGAGACGGAGCTTTGGCACGATCCCCCCGCGGAACCGGCGAGAAGCCTCGCTTTGTAAAAGGGATCTTTATCGACCAAGCAGGCATTTTCCGGCAGGCCCCGTGCACACCCCACTCCCCTGCCCAGTCCTCGCAAGACCCCTGTGCGGAGGGCGTATCAGTCGCCTGCTGCTGTGCAAAAAGTCACACCAGCCCGGCCGCATGGCTCCGTGGCTGAGCGTTGACCTAGGAACCAGGAGGTCAGGGTTCGATTCCCCGTCAGGGCACAGGCCCGGGTTGTGGGCTCGATCCTCAGTGTGGGGCGTGCAGGAGGCAGCTGGTCCATGATTCTCGCTCATCATGGATGTTTCTATCTCCCTCTCCCTTCCTCTCTGAAATTAATCAAAATATATTTTTTTTAAAAAAGTCACATGGAAATGTGCTGGCTTCAAGCACAGCGAGCCCGGTGGCCTCGGGAACACAGGAGGGACCAGCTGGTGGTTCTGGCTCAGTCTCTCTGCGGTTCCGGGAAGGGTCAGTGGGCTGGAGGTCAGGGTGGCGCACTCCTGCAGCCAGGAGTGGGTGCTGGCTGTCGGGGGGCCTCAGTGCCCCTCCCCAGCTGCTTGGGCCTCCCAGCAGCTCGGTCTGGGTGCCAAGAGCTGGTGTCTCCAGTGGGCAGGGCGCAGTGGCCTTTCGTGACCAAGCCTTGAGGTCCCACAGGCCCCACGCTGGCCTGGATTCAGGAGAAGGAACGTTCACCCCAGCCCTCCGTGGGAGGGTGGCCAAGGACTCGGGGCCCATGATTGAAAGCTGCTGGACCCCCGTGTGACAGGCGAGGAAGGAAGCTCAGACCGAAACCCACCCCCAGTGAAAGGGAGCTCACGGCTCCCTTCACAGGAGAGTCCTGGCTCAGGAGCTGGATTCGGGGGCCCTTTCTCTCTGGTCCGCCTCCCCCCACGTGGCTTCATTCTCGGGAGGGCCTGCCCTGAGTGGCTGTGGTCACCAAGGCTCCTGGCTCCCAACCCACCAGCTCAGCAACCGGAGGAAAAATTAAAGTTCAACAAAAGTCCCAGGGCCGAGTTTCATTGGCCAGCTCAGGTCACATGACCACCCTGAGCCAATCAGTGTGGCCAGGGGACAGTATGCTCTCTGATTGGCCAGGCCTGGGTCCAGGGCCCACGAATTACATGGATCTGAGAGGCGATGGAGGGTCCCCTGAAAACTGGGCTGCTGTTAAGAGGAGGTGGGCACCCTCCCCACCAGGGGCCGTAACATTTATCGTTTTATGTGACTCCGGGCAGAGCAGGCTGGGGATCCTTACAGCCGAGCTGTGGACACCGACCCCACCTCCTGCCAGCCGCCTCTCACACACCTGCACATGCCCAGCCCACCTGCCTATGGCCAGGCCCATGGCCACTGCCCCTGCTGCCCTCCACGGTCCCGGCTGCAGGGTGGTGGGGGGGCGTCTTCTGTGGACTGCCCCTGGCTGCTCTCTGGGGTTTTAACCTCTGTCCTCTGCCTGCTTGTCGGGTCCTGAGAGTGGCTACACCCCACTGAGGCCACAGCTCTGGGAAGGTACCTCCCTCCACACCCAGTTCTTAGGGCTCCCTGGCCTGCCCAAGTGCTGCTCCCTGGGTCACTGCTGCCCCCCATTCTTCTCAGCTGACCCCTCTGTGCCCTCTGCTCCCCCAGTTTTCAACTGACCGACCTCGTAGCTCTGTCCCTGAGTGGAGCCCAGGACCTGTCCAGACAGTCCTGCTGCTGAGACCAAAGTCCTGTGATACCGGCCTCAGTGTCTGGGCCAGGCCAGGCTGACACCTGCCCTCCCCCCTGAGACCCACAACCCCCCCGCCCCGCACCTCCCACACGTGCGAGGTGAAGTGGCCTCTCTGTTGTCCTCTCCCTGCCAAACAGACCCACATCGCCTTCCGAAACGCAGGGTAGCCAGGTTACCATGGCAATGCCCATTATCCCTGCTTAACAGGAGATGAATCAGTAGCTAAAAATAGGCTCCCAGAGTAGATGGATGGATGGATGGATAGATTGATGGATGGATGGATGGAGGGAGGGATAGAGGGGTAGGGGGATGAATGGATGGAGGAGTGATGGATGGATGGATAGATTGATGGATGGATGGTGGGTGATGGATAAATGGGTGGGTGGTGGATGGATCGATGATGGATGGACAGATGGGTGGGTGGGTGTGTAGGTGGATGATGGGTGGATGATGGGTGGATGGTGGGTAGACGGGTGGACAGGTGGATGATGGGTAGATGGAGGGGTGGATGGAGGGGTGGATGGAGGGATGGATGGTGGATAGGTAAATGGGAGGGTGGGTGGATGATGGGTGGATGGTGGGTGGACGTGTGGATGATGGGTGGATGGAGGGATGGATGGTGGATAGGTAAATGGGAGGGTGGGTGGATGATGGGTGGATGGTGGATGATGGATAAATGGGTGGGTGGTGGATGATGGGTGGATAGAGGGATGGATGGTGGATAGGTAAATGGGAGGGTGGGTGAATGATGGGTGGATGGTGAGTGGACGGGTGAATGGGTGGTGGACCTGGGCTCAGGGTCAGGACAGTTTGTTTCTCCCAGATAAGATAATTCAGGGGAAATCTTGATTGGAATCCACCCCCACGGGCTGGGAGGCTCCGGCTGGCGGAGTCCCTCCCCTCCCCCCTGTTTCCAGAGCAGAGCCTGCAGCGCGCAGTAGGTCCCTTTAGAGCCAAGAGCAGGCTGAAGTCATGGAGGCCCTGCCTGGCAGCCCCTTCCCACCTGGGGGAGGGGTCCCTCAGAGGTTGGGCAGCCATTGCACCCTCGGGCGCTCCCCGGGGTGCAGCCTCCTGACACCCTTGCATTCCTGGGAGGGCCCTTCGTACAGTCCAGGCAGGGCCCAGTGAGCCTGAGTCTGGAAGATTCCGTGTCCCAGAGTGAGGGCCGAAGGCGCAGTTCTCCCCGCCCCACCCCTCCCGTGGGGGCAGTCTCGGGTGGACGGGCGCGGGGGCAGTAAATGCACAAACTGCTGCCAGCATGAGACGACACTTTATTGCACCTGAGCCCAGCTGGGTGCGGAGGCAGGGCCCTCACAGCAGGGGCAGGAAAGGGGCACAGGGGGCAGGGCTGACCATCGGGGCCTGGGCACCATTTTCTCTGTGACGGACGCTGCCTGCTGGCCCCTCCCCAGGAACATCAGATGCACCGTGACTCCCCCAGCCCCTCCTGGGGCCGGGCCAGGTGTGGGGGCTACCGCCAGCCCCCCGCCCCATCTGCTTCTGTTTCTGGGTCTCCTCGGGCCTGGGCTTGCTCATCCTTCAACCTCGGGGGCCCCAGGGGATGAGGGCGCCTGGGCGCTTGGGGGACAGGAGGCTTCTGGGAAGTCAGGGGGGAGTTTAAGGGACCTCAAGGGTGCTGGGGACAGGAGGCACCCTGGCCGCACCCCCTCTCTGGGGTCCTCATGGGGCGCCGAGGCCTGGAGGCGGCAGCTCCTTGTGGCTGTAATACTCCACCACCTGCTTGGGCACCTCAGCCAGCACGCACCTGGCCAGCGCCGCGGGGGAGGCCTGCGGGTGGGACACCTGCTCACAGGCCTTCCTGGTCCTCGGTCCCCAGCCTCACCCTCCTGAGCCCTGCCTGCCACCTGGTGTGGGAGCCGCTGAGGGGACCACAGCCAGGATTCACCTGGTGGTCAGGTGAGCCTCCGATAAGCAGGTAGACCCTGAAAGAGGAGGCTGCGGTGCCCGACACCTCAAGTGGCAGCTGATGGGCCCTGAGTGACATATATGGTCACGTGACCCCTCCCCTGGGTCAGTGGGCTCCAGCTCGCCAGCCACCGAGAGGAGAGAAGGGCACCTGCCTCTCCCGGCCCTGCCTGATGGGACCTGCCGCCGTCGCTGGGACAGGGGAGCCTCGGGGCCGGGCCCTGGACCCCCAGCCTGTCCAGACACTCACATTCTTGAGCTCCCGGAAAGGCACGAACTGGACGATGTCCCGGAGCGCGGGCTCGCCCCGCGGGGAGCGCAGGACGCCGTCGTCCCCGTCCAGCACCTGCATGTCCGTGAAGTCGGCGTTGCCCACGCCCACGATGATGATGGACATGGGCAGGTGGGAGGCTCGCACAATGGCCTCCCGTGTGTCCGCCATGTCGGTCACCACGCCGTCCGTCAGGATCAACAGGATGTAGTATCGCTGGGGACGCGGGGAGGTGGGTTGGTGGGCTTGGGGGCTTGACCGGGGGAGGCAGCCTCCCTGGAAGGCCTCCCAGGTGGCCTCGGGGGGGGACTGCAGACACCCCTTCGTCTGGTTTCAGGGGTTTCTGGGGTGTTTTCGCTGAAGCACAATATGTACACGAGAACCAGTGAGTCTGTGTGTGTGCCCTGCACACACACGGTGCCCATGTCACCGGTCATCACCCCCAGTGCTGCCGGGGTGACCCCCTCGCAGATGGGGGGCTGAGGCAGTGGAGCCCCGACTTGAACCCAGGTCTGAGGCCAGAGAGCAGGGACCTGCAGGTCCCGGTGGAGAGACCCCGAGACCCAAGGAACAGAATTCAGAGAGGGGCCCTCCTGGGGTGAGGGAACTAGCAGCTGTGCATGGAGAATTTTGGAGGGCGGCCAGGAGGTGAGCCAGCTCTCAAACGGTCCGGAAAAGGGACAAGCCCGGCCGGCGGGGCTCAGTGGCTGAGCATCGACCTGTGAACCAGGAGGTCAGGGTTCGATTCCTGGTCAGGGCACAGGCCTGGGTTGCGGACTCCATCCCCAGTGTGCGGTGTGCAGGAGGCAGCCGGTCCATGGTTCTCTCTCATCATTGATGTTTCTACTCTCTCTCCCTCCCTCTCTGACATCAATAATAATATACTTTTTACAAAAGAAGACGACCTTTGCACTGGCTGCCCCCCCCCCCCCCC